GAAGGAGAAGAAAAGAGAAGAGAATAAAGAGAGAACTGAAGCTGAGCTACGTGTCTTGCCTGCTGATTCTACTATTTCATTATAACAACACAACATTGGCGACAAAGATGTCTATTTCTGTGCCTTTACCTACTCCATTCATGCCATGCCCAGGGGAACCAGCGATACCATTTCCAACATGGCTGAAAATGTTCGACAATTACATGTTGGTGATAGCTGCATCGGGGGATAGCTGGCCTGATGCCAGAAAGCGYGCGGTTCTACTTCATGCCCTGGGTACAGAGGGCCAAAGGCTTTTCTACACCCTGCCGAACACCGGAGACACRTTTACTACTGCTGTTGCTGCCCTTAAAGARCATTTTGTGCCTAAGGTGAACGTCATTGCGGAACGTCACAAGTTTCGACAACGAGCACAGAGACCGGATGAGACGGTAAATCAATTCTTAGCTTCTCTAAGGGAGTTAGCTGCTACATGTGATTTTGGGAACATGGAGGACCAAATGCTACGTGATCAACTGATTGAGYGTGTTGCTAATACTCGCATAAGAGATAGATTATTGCTTGAACCGGACTTAACACTTGCTAAAGCTACTACATTGGCGTTGCAAATTGAAAGTGGATTAAGAGATGCGGATGTCCTTTCTGATGCTACCGCTGCTAGCGCTTCCGCTCCAGTGAGGGCCGTACAAAAGCAACCAAAGCAAAGCCGCCGCCGCTGGGACACGAAGAAGAAGCCGCCGGATCCTGCTCCTGCCACGACTCAAGCTGCTGCTAACCGCCGTTCCTGCTTCCGCTGTGGATCTTTCAACCACCTTGCTAACAAACCTTCATGCCCTGCTGCTAAAATGACATGCAACAAGTGTGGTAAAGTGGGACATTTTTCACGAGTATGCCGTTCGACTCAAAAGGAGGTACGTGAAGTCGTCATTAATGAGCCCACAGTTCTTTACATGAACAATGCAGTGCTAGACAAGATCCTCTGCACAGTTCAAGTGATAGTTAATGGACGATGCAAWGATGTTGAGCTGATTGTGGATACAGGCTCATCAGTGTCCATTATACCAGAGAACATTTACCACACCTACTTTTCTGAATGTGTGCTAACTGAACCTACATTTGCTCTTGTTACCTATGCAAAAGAGAAAATTCCTGTAAAAGGATGCTTAAAAGCTACTATTTCTCATGATAGTCATTCTACTGCAGGAACTTTTGTTGTTGTTGAGTCAGGTGCTGCTCTTCTTGGTTTAGATTTGTTTCAGGCTTTACAAATGAAACTTGAAGGACGAAAAGTTATTACTACTACTACTTCTCCTACCCCTAYGGTTGAACCTGCTGTGCCAGAGACTGTATCAGATCATTCTCCAGACATGTCAGTTCAGGAAGTTGGCTATGCTAAAAACTTCATACACAAAGTACATATACTGCCTGATGCTGTTCCAGTGCAACAAAAACTCAGGAGACTTCCATTTTCGGTAAGACAAGCCGTTTCCGAGGAGCTCAAAGACCTCCAGGATAAGGGCATCATTGAACGTATTGATGCTTCTCCTTGGGTTTCTCCCATAGTCGTGACACAAAGAAGAGATGGGGGAAAACCACGCATGTGTGTTGATTTAAGGGAGCCAAATAAAGTCATTGTTGCTGATTGCCATCCATTACCACACATGGATGAACTGTTCTCACATCTACGAGGGGCTACTGTTTTTTC